CTCTATCATGGTTTTCCCACTTAAGGTGCCCCCACTTCCCCCTCTTTCTTCCTTACTAATATCCTTGCTCCTATGATCCTACCTCTGTTGAACTGCTTCTTTCTCCTTACCCCTAGGTTCCTCATATGCCCTTCCTTCCCCCCTCCCATAATCTAACCCAATTTTTATCCATATCTCCCTTCTTAAGGTCTGTTGCCTACTATTCTTCTCCTTCAGGTTAAGAAATTCCCTCTTTTTACTGGCCTACATGACATTCTTCCCCTTCATCCAGCCACTGTGGCTACTTATTAGTCTGAACCAGGGTAGGCACCTTCTCTAGCACCACCAGAACCATGGCATCCTTGTCTCTGCTTCCCCTGTTTCTGAACTACTAAGAATTTTATTTAACTGTTTTTTTTTTTACTTTTCCAGAAGTAAATGCTCCTTATTTTAAATATACACTTCAAAATTAATAAATGAAGCTTACTGTGTTATCTGCTGCATACATGAAATCTAATATAATTATTTTTTTCTCTAATGCAACATCTTTGACCTTAGTAAATTCCATTATACTAGTTCTAGGATGCCTTCTGCCAATGTATTTATTAGAATTTTCAAATTCTTAAAACATAAAATAGCAAAGAGTATAATTAGGAAAGATTTTTCTACATCTGTGACAATGCAAGCTAACCAGAATAGTTGCACATTTGCTATTGGTCAAAATAATTATTCTTTTCTATTTTGTAGCATTGATTACATGGGGATGATACCTAGAAATAATTTGAACATTGTTTTTGTTCATATTTTGCTACACTTGTAAAACTGAAGAAAGGGAAAATGAAAGCATCATTGGGAGTATTATTTTTCAATTGGATATTTTGGAATAATACCAGGGACATTATGAGATGATGCTTATCCAGGAAACAAACAGAATGCAGACTACAAAAACTATTTTAAATTAAATTAACCTTGAGAAAAACAACTATAAAGTAGTCTTGCAATGATAAAACATTGCTTTTGTTTGTTTGGGGTTTTTTTTTTTCTTTTTTATCATTGTGCTGGATAGTTTTAGCATCAGCTTGACACACCTGGGTTGAGGGAGCCTCAATTGGGGAATTACC